GGGGGACCATTGGGAGCAGCTCTAGCTAGTTCGACGGTATACCTCTGAGGAAAAGAGAATTGTCTTGATCGTGGCAACTTGGACACTCGGGGAGGCATGGTCACTGCATGCGAACACCGTTAGCAAAACAGTTCGCTACAAGAATTAGAAAGGACAAGTCAAGAAACTTACTCGATGGGGTTTCTAAGGCTACGTCTGTGTTGAAGAAGTCGTACCTCGGCAAGTTCTTGATTGTCACAAGCAACCTCGTGTCTCGGCTTTCAGCAGGCAGAAAACCGAATGTTATGATTCTGTCCGGGTCCACGAGTAGGTTCAGATTGGTCGTTCCATTAACTATCAAGAAAAACAAACAACTCATTAGCGAAGAACAAAATCGAGAGTTCAGAAGGAAAGAGAACCTACTCAGATCATGAAAGCGGCAGATGCTGTCGTAACGAAAGAAGAAAAACTTCGTGTCGTATGGTCCCACATTACTCGGATAGCTATGTATCCCCGCTTGTATTGAGTTTCGCTTGGACAAGTACCAAGAATCCTTGTCCTTGCTCTTTTTTAAGATGTACGAGCAACCGAGCTCAACCGCGGTTAGCTTGCCCATTCCATTCTCTCGACACGCGATGTACATGGCAATGGTGATCATGTACGTGTTCTGGGTGAGCTACATTGGTGCGATCCCGAAGTGATCGAGGACCGACCTGGTGAAAGAGTGGAAAGGGATCAACCCCCCACCCTTGAAGATATCTTCTGAGACCGCAGCCATCCCACGTGGTAGATCCTGGGTAGTATGCACCTTATCGCAGAAAACCTCTATGCTGACAGCGAACTGGTTAACCACCTTTCGTAGCTCGTCGGTGGTAAACGTCGAGTAAATTTCTCGAGGGGGCACGCAGGAGCATCCTCTATGGGCAAGCTGGCTCCTTCCTCGGCTTTGATCGTTGGGGGGTCTATCTTGCAATCTGCAAAAGCGATGAAATGGTACATTCAGTCTTCGTACATTTTTGTACGATGACGTGAAATAAAGTTTCTCCTCCCCAAACCCAGAAAAAACCCTAACAAAATACTTAAAAAGCCACCACAAATAGCTCCAACCCAACGGAGAGTATTTGGTCTTCGATGAGCTACCGACGGACAGTCATCACATGGTGACTGTCAAAAGCAAAAAACATTGAAGATAAAAGAAGGGAATCTTCTTTACCCCTAGGAATGAGAAAGATTGGCTCTTCTGTTCCGAATATCCAGTGAACACCACTCTAAAAGGCAAAGAATCAAGACTGGCAAAATTTTCTTGCTCTTTGAGAATGAAAATACTGTGACTTTGCCTGAAGAGAGCTTGGGGTTTTTATAGTGAAGGAAATGGCGCTTTGGTTTCCCGAAATCAAATGACGTTTGGGCGGAAAACGCATCTGACCACTGATCACGACCACGTGTCATGATTAACGAGAAAGAGTGACCGTCACGCCTCGAGAAACCAGATTGTCATCCCCTTCCGTTGAAACGCTCAAGCAATGGCACGTTTTCCCTCTTCCACATTTAATGTGCCCACACCCGCATTTAATGCTCTGATAGGGAATGTCATTTCAGCATGGCTTGCATTTAATGCGCTTGGCTAGCACTTATTACGCATAAGACATATCTGTCAGAGCAAAGGGCATTTCATTTAATGCACCCGCTGCAAAAGGTGCAACGGATAACATCTGAAGAGATCGTTACCAAAAACACTCTTCACCGTCAGTTGCAAAGCGACGTGACTCTCCGAACTTTTCATCAGTTGCGAGGCTACGTGAATCTTCAGAGTTCTCATCAGTTGTGAAGCGACATGCTTGTTCGACCCCATCTCATGTCAATTGCGAAGCGATGTGACGCCGGCTACGAAGCAGCGTGGCCATTTGTCCTAAAACGTTGCTAAGTGAGAACAAGTCGAGAATTCCCTCTGGTCGGGATCATCACTAGCACTGGGTACCCGTGACCAGGTCACTGATCCTGAGGTCGCGGATCATCCTAGGTCGCTTGTGAGAGAATGTCCTCTTGATCTCCTTTGCAATAAGGTCGGATCAACCAACATCTCTTCAAACACATCAGATCAAGGCATTTATAGTTTCCAAGGTTTGATACTTAAACCTTAAAAACTAGGGGACTTCTGTTATGCCTGAAAATATAAGGCTGACACAAGACTCAGTCAGCATAAAAAGTCAGAGCTTAGGTAGGCCCGCAGCCAGTCAGAAACAGCCACGTCACGTGGTGACGTGAGTAGCACACTCCTGTCAGTGAAGTGGGTGCGCGTCCGACCAGCCTAGAGCTATAGTGATTCCACGTGTCCAATCCCTGCACCAAATCGCGTAAATCACTCTAAAAGGTGGGCAATGGGACATAAAGAAGGATTTGCATGGATAATCCCACCAACTCACAGATTTAGTAATGATTACCTTAATCCATCCCACTATAAATTAAGAGCTCCTCTCTCATTTAAGGGATTAGCTACTCTCTCTAAAGAAAAATAGCATTATCTCTCTTGTATAATCATTTGTAAGTCAGTCCGCTAACGCGACCTTACCTCTATCATTAATACAAAATCAGTGGACATAGGATTTGCTTCCTTAGCATCCAAACCACTTTAAACGCTATTCTTCACTGCATTTACTTTCATTCTCACATTCACGTGTGTCTTCTAGGCCCGCTCAGCATTTCACATGTGCGTTTGGTTGGTGTCAAAATCACATATCAACAAATATGGACATACAATTCAACAACAGGTTCTGCCTCTTTGAACACTGATAATGTCGGAGATAATGATGGTAACAGAAGGAAAAAACATTTTCTTCAAGATGGAGACTTCTGTGGTGAGGAACTTGTTGCTTGGGCTCTGGGTTATCCCTCTTTATCCAACCTCCCTATTTCAACTAGAACTATTCAAGCACTTACAAAAGTTGAAGCTTTCACTATTATGGCAGATGACTTGAAAAATGTATTCAGTAAGTACCAGTTTTCCAGCTCTTCTGGATTGAACTTGAATCACTTTATGGTCACTCAGGCAGCTCGAATCATACAAGACGTTTGGCATCGCCATCATACAAGAAGGAACTCGCGAAGGTCTACCCAAGAAATGGAGTTTAGTGGCTAGCAAAACTTTATCAAATGTCAGATCATCCAAGAGAACACAACCAACATTATCTCACCAGTAGGCAGGCCTGAGACCATGGTGAAGAACAATAGATTGGTTAGTTCTTGTGGTTTACATGCCTGGTCTTAGTAGGCCAAGTTTTGTATGAGAAGTATAAAATTATGCTCATTACTCAATGTAACAAATTACATTGCATGACAAAGCAACAAGTAAAGATATAAAACAGCCAACATGTTATTTTTTGCTTAAAAGTGTAAAATAATAACACAAGCTATTTTTCCTGTAGCAAGACCAGTTTACTTAAATTTTATGTCGGTAGGTCAATGCGGATTCTTAGTACTTTCAATTTAAAAACTGGTCAATTTTTATTATTTTTCAAATGGGTGTAGTTCAGAAAATCAATTATTGTATTAGATCTTTCTGTATACTACCCGGTCCCATGATTTTTCACTCTTCTTTTTTGTGCTTCATCTAGCTGGAATCCTAAACCTAAGCAAATTTAAAATGCTTTCTGGTTGACCGAATTGTCTATGTCTTTTAGCAAATCACCAAAATAATTGGAAAAGCAAAACCCTACCTTCCACGCCCAAGAAACTAATTAACGAAGAATTCAAAACCACTATATAATAATTGTGATCTTAATTTTCTCATTAAGATTCTGAATTGTCTAAAATCCTGCAACTAAAAGAAGATTGCCTAGCTAAATTTTCAGAAATCAACAATTTGCTTCTTCTAGCAGGATCTTTGCATTGTTCATCATGTAAGCGATTAAGTGATTTTACTGTACACTTCATACTTGTAAACTACAATGACCAGAAACTCTGAAGCCCACTTGTAGTTAGCCTTTGGCTGCGCAGTTTTAAATGTTCTTTTGGTAACTTTGAACAAATTATTGCTTGTGTTATGATTAGGTCTCTGGTCACAAATCTAAAGGAAGGTACAGCTGGGGAAAGTTACAGGGATTATAAAGACGAAACAAAATCAGTCTCAAGAATCATTAGAGGTGTGCCAAATACATATCCAAACACTGGCTTCAAGTGAAGAAAATCCTTGACTCATAAGGGCCTCTTGGGATTTGGATTTTTCTCACATTCATTGTGATTGCAATCACATTGGACCCTTTGTTCTTTTACATTCTTGTAGTCAATGATGATCAAAAGTGCCTTAGATTGGACAAAAATTTGGGGATTATAGTAACTGTTCTTCGTTCGATATTTGATGTCTTTTATATAATCTTTATAATTTTCAGACTACGTACTGATCTTTACTTGATATATTGTTATAACCCAAGCCTAATTAATCAATTCGCAACACAAACAAACACAATCAAGATTCAAGATCAAAAACACACACACACAAAAATCAAGGCACAAATTTACCGTGGTTCGTCTATCCAATCTTGGATAGACTACATCCACATTGAGCTCCGAAATACGGATACTTATAGCACTAAAAGAATATCCTACGATTACAAGAAGACAACCATACAAATCTGCCAAAACAGATCAACACTCAACCTAGGCCTATTCGCTCAAGAATCTCTCAAGAATCTGCAAGAAACAAAGGACAAAACCAGCCTCAAGAAGGAAACGCAACCCTCTTTCTAATTTACCTAGATTATACCCAGAAAAACTCAGCAAATACTCAACCCTAGTTGCTCTCTAATTTTTCTCTCACGAACTCTAACCTTTCATATTAACAAAAGATGCGGCTATTCACATCGCTGTTGCTTCTTTTATATATGCCCATATCAGCAAATATCAACCCTTGGATCTGACTTGATCTGACGGCTAGAATTCCTTCAATGAACTTAAATGAAACGACCCCGTTTTGGCTTCACATTATTTTTCAGTCTCCACCTTGAAGCCAACTTTCTTCCTTTCATTTATTTCCTTTCTTCTTTTCCATTGTTGGACTCCTTTTTAGTGCAATAAGTTATCCTATATTTCTTCTCAGCTCTAAGAGAAAGTGTTTGTCTGATGTGAAGCAAGTTCAAGCAGTGCTTAAACTTGGCTGTGGTCACCACTTTGGTTCCCATGTCCGCTGGATTCTCTTCAGTAGGCACCTTTAAAAGAATAATTTCTCCCTTTGCAATCAGGTCTCTGACGAAGTGATGCCTGACATCCACATGTTTTGTTCGTTCGTGATAAACTGGGTTCTTACTCAAATGGATGGCACTCTGACTGTTAGAGTAAACTGTTGTTGTGTCATTCAACAGATCAGCTTCTTTTAGAATCCCTTGCAACCATGTTGCTTCCTTGAATGCATTTGAAACTGCTATGTACTCTGCTTCAGTAGTGGAAAGTGCAACCAGAGGTTGCAACTGTGTTTTCCAGCTAACATAGTTGCCTCCCAGTGTAAAGTAATAAGCAGTTGTGGACTTCCTAGAGTCTCGATCACCTGCAACATCTGCATCTACATAACCAACCAGATCAAGTGATGCATATCTTTTACAGAAAATTAAACCAATCTGAACAGTGCCATTAATGTATCTCATTAACCATTTTAAAGCATTCCAATGTTCATTTCCAGGATTTGACATGAACCTGCTTAATAGTGATATTGCATATCCTAAATCAGGTCTGGTGGATATCATGGAATACATTACAAAACCTATGGCATTAGAATAAGGGACATTCTCCATTTTCAGCCTATTTGAATATGTTTTTGGGGATTGTGACTTACTAAGTATGAAATGGTTTGCTAAGGGCATTGTCACTGCTTTGGATTCATTCATACCAAATTTTAAGACCAGTTTCTGTAAGTATGAGGATTGATGGAGTTTAAGGGTATTTGCACTTCTATCTTATCAATCATCATTCCTAGTATTTTCTTTGCCTTCCCTAAGTCCTTCATATCAAATTCAGTATTTAATTTGGCCTTTAAAGCATTAATTTGAGACATGGACTTACTAATTATTAACACGTCATCTACATATAGCAGAAGATAGATTGGTATGTTATTCATACAGGCAAAATAGAAACAGTTATCATACATGCTTCTAGTGAATCCATTTCCTATTATGAATGCATCAAACCTCTTGTACCATTGTCTAGGGGGGCAGAGATTTATTCAGTGAGCATACATAATCAGGTAGTTTTTTATCCTTAAAACCTACAGGTTGACTTATGAATATTTTCTCATCCAACTCACCATGCAAGAAAGCAGTTTTAACATCTAGTTGTTCTATCTCTAAGTCATATTGAACAACAATTGCTAGAATGATTCTAATAGTTTTAAATTTAACTACTGGAGAAAATATTTCAGTGAAATCAATACTTGCCCTCTGAGTGTAGCCCTTAGCCACTAACCTTGCTTTGAATCTTGGTGGGTTAGATTCAGTTATCCCTTCTTTCAGTTTGTACAACCATCTGCACTCCACCAACTTCTGATTCTTTGGCTTTGGAACTAGTGTCCAGGTTTTGCTTGAGTGCAATGACTCCATCTCTTCCTCCATAGCAGCCACCCATTCTTTTCTATCCCTTGAACTCATTGCCTCATCATAAGTGTTAGGTTTTGATCGATGTATCTCTGAACCAACCAGGAGTGCTGTAAAGATCAGGTCAGCATAGCTGTACCTTGCAGGAGGTCTGATCTCCCTCCTGACTCTATCTCTGGCTAACTAATATTGGGCCAGATTACCATGTTGATCCACTTCAGCATTGTCAGTAGGGTGATCTTCATCCTCCTGCTCTTGATTTTGCTGTGGTTGATCTTCAAGTGGATCAGTCTCATCTGTTTGGATGTATTGATCAGGATTAGTTTCAGGCTCCACCTCAAACTGAGTTGTCCCAGTTTGTCTAGAGGTTTTAGACTCTTTTTGTGAGCTACCTGCACTGTTAGTACCAGATTTGCAAGGAAAAACAGTTTCATTGAAAATCACATCCCTACTAACAATTACCCTAACCCCTAGGGCAGCCCTTTCCCACAGCCTATAACCCTTAGTTCCCTCTTGATATCCCAAAAAAACACACTTAAGAGATCTTGGCTCTAACTTTCCATCTCTGGTATGTGCATATGTAGCACATCCAAAGACTCTTAGGTGTTCAAGAGATGGTCTCCTCCTAGACCACTTTTCTTCAAGGCACTTAAAGTCTATTAAGCTAGAAGGGCTTCTATTTATAAGATAGGCTGCTGTACCTAGTGCTTCCCCCCAACAGGTTTTTGGTAGACCAGTTGTGAATAAGAGACATCTAACCCTCTCTAGAAGAATTCTATTCATTCTCTCAGCAACCCCATTCTGCTAAGGGGTTCCCCTAACTATCCTATGCCTCAGAATTCCCTCTTCTACACAGTAAGAGTCAAACTCCAGATTACAGAATTCCAAGTCATTGTCTGTCCTAAAGGTTTTCACCTTCCTATTAACTTGGTTTTCAACCAGGTTTTTCCAGCCTTTAAACTTGGTTAAGGCTTCATCTTTGGACCTAAACAGGTACACCCATACCTTTCAACTATAATCATCCACAATAGAGAGGAAATAGTAATTCCCTCCATGTGTTCTAACCCTTTTAGGACCCCAAATATCTACATGTACATAATCCAACCCTTTTTCAACTAGATGAGTTCCCTTTTGGAAACTCATTCTGTGCGGTTTTCCCAACACACAAACTTCACAGAAAGTTAATTCAGATATAGATTCCTTACCAAAATAGTCTTGTTGGCTTAACACTGTCATACCTTTTTGGCTTATGTGGCCAAGTCTCAAATGCCATTTCTCTGCAGCAGTCAGATTAGTAGATGATAAAGCAGAATTTATAGTGAATGCACAATGTTGACCACACAGAATGTACAGCCCATTTTGTTTGACCCCTTCAAGCAAAATTTCATTATTCTTATACACAACTATGGACCCTTTTTCTGCCTTATAACTACATCTACCTTCATCCAAAGTTCCTAATGAAATCAGGTTTCTTTTAAGGTCAGGTATATACCTTACTCTGGTTAACATTATGACTTTACCATTATTTAACCTAATAGTTATGTTTCCTATGCCTTGAACCTTACAAAAGTGATTATTACCCATGAAAACAATTTCTAACTCTCATTTCCTAAAGTTTTGGAACCATTGGATGTTTGGGCTCATATGAAAGGTGCATCCCTAATCTAAAACCCATTCCTTACTGCTAGCTTGGTTTGAGACAGTGAGGGCTTCTGAAATTTCAATGCCAGTGCTAGTGCTAGCTGAATTACTCTCTGTATTGTGCTGTTTTTGTTTCTTTATCCAATCATAACAGTTCTTCTTAAGGTGGCCTGGTTTATTACAGTGAAAACACTTCCTAATTTCTCCTTTAGACTTGTTATTCTTTCCTTTTTTCTTAGTCTTAGGGTTCATGTGTTGCTGGAAATTCTTGTTACTATCCCTTCCTAACTGTCCAGGATCTGTCCTACTTTTGACAAACAAGTTATTCCCATTCCTTTTCTTTATTTTCAACTCCAATTCCCTAGATTTCAGGCCAGCTATAATCAAGTCAACACTGGGAACTGTCCCAGTGTATTGTAAAGCACTGTTCACTACTAAGTACTCATCAGGCAATGAATTTAACAGTATCATCGCCAAACTAGAATCTCCTAACTCCTGATCTGTACCTTTCAACACTAATGTCATCTTAAGAAACTCATCAAGGTTTTCTTCTACAGACTTAGTAACATCCATTTTATAAGAGAATAAAGCTCCTTTAAGAAATGCTAAGTTTGATGCAGACTGTAAGGAATAAAGGGATTCGAGTTTACCCCAGAGTCTGAGCGGTGTTTCCATGCCATCTACCTTTCGCAGGACTGCATCGGACAGATTCATTATGATTATATTATAGGCTTCCTCATCCACTTCAGCCTTCTTTTTCAGTTTCTCTTCAGACCACTTGGTGGTATCTTTTTCCAGAGCAAGCCCTACCTTATTATGTGAAATGAGGGCCTTCATCTTCTTTTTCCATGTATTAAAATTGATCTTCCCAACATATTGGGAGATCTCTATATGAGTAGTGCTCATTGTATTGTAATGACAATTCAGGATAGTCTAAGGAGTACATGGCGTTGTTATACCAGAGGTTGCCAAGTACTGTCAGACAGTTTTTAAGGCAGTTACTGGTGTTCCAGCCGAAATACCCTTAAACTTTATCAAACAAGACGAAAGTGACAAGACTACTACAGCCCGTAGACAATACCAAGATTTCTCCCCTGACTCGTGTTTGTGACTCAAACTAACCAATTCAACTAGATTCAAGGACAATTCGAAACCTTACAGCTCTATAAGCCTTTAATCCGAAAAACCCCCAAATCCTAACAAAACCCTAATTTCAATTTTGCACGAATTTCATCGATCCCTTGTGTTTGTGACCTAATCTCACGAATTAATCCTAAGACTCAGCAAGATTCGAAATCCTAATGATCTAGGAACCTTTAAATCGAAAAAACCCCAAACTGACAAACCCTAATTTTCTAATTCGTCAAGAATCAAACGATTTCTAAACCTAAATACCCTTTAGAACTTTGGCTCTGATACCACTGTTATAACCCAAGCCTAATTAATCAATTCGCAACACAAACAAACACAATCAAGATTCAAGATCAAAAACACACACACACAAAAATCAAGGCACGAATTTACCATGGTTCGTCTATCCAATCTTGGATAAATTACATCCACGTTGAGCTCCGAAATACGGATACTCATAGCACTAAAAGAATATCCAACGATTACAAGAAGACAACCATACAAATCTGCCAAAATAGATCAACCCTCAACCTAGGCCTATTTGCTCAAGAATCTCTCAATAATCTGCAAGAAACAGAGGACAAAACCAGCCTCAAGAAGGAAACGCAACCCTCTTTCTAATCTACCCAGATTATACCCAGAAAAACCCAGCAAATACTCAACCCTAGTTGCTCTCTAATTTTTCTCTCACGAACCCTAACCTTTCAGATTAACAAAAGATGAGGCTGTTCACATCATTGTTGCTTCTTTTATATATGCCCATATCAGCAAATATCAACCCTTGGATCTATCTTGATCTGACGGCTAGAATTCTTTCAATGAACTTAAATGAAACGACCCCGTTTTGGCTTCACATTATTTTTCATATATAAAGGAGATGCTCTGGACAAAGATGCACTGAAACATTTGTTGCACTTCTTCCTAATTGACCTTCTGGCAATTCTTCCCCTCCCACAAGTAATGCAGCCACTATTTTACAGTTAAAATGTTTCCGTAAGTAAAACATTACTTGTTCTGGAAGCAACCCAAAAAGAGGCCTACCTTTGACATATTGACTAATCTTAAACATACAAGTAAACATTTTTGCTTATATTAATTAATATGGTCCTACATACGAATCTGAATTTGATTTGCTGTCTGTAGGTTGTGATTTTAGTAATGATAACAACAAGGAGTAGCTCAAGATTTTTGAATAACATGAAGTTATTGAAATTTTTTGTGTTTTTCCAATATGTGCCAAGGGTTGTTAGAATCTACCCATTGTTTACAAAAGCTACAAGGACTTCATCCGGAAAACTTGCTGAAGCTATATGGCCCAGAGCTACATTCAATCTTCTTCTTTACATGCTTGCTTGTCATGTAAGTCAAATTACCATTTATGTCTTGATTTACATGATTCAAAAATAATTATTTTCTCGATTTCACAGGCCTATGTTTCTGATCATTGAGTGACTTGTTGGCTGCTGGTGTTTAGGTGTTTGGAGCATTCTGGTATTTTTTGGCCATAGAAAGAGAGACTGTGTGCTGGAAGAAACCCTGCATAAATCATCCTGGATGTGTTGGTGGTTCTTTTTACTGTGATGATCCCAATTTAGGAGACCACAAATTTCTGAATGATGTTTGCCCTACAAAGACACGAAACACAACTTCATTTGACTTTGGAATGTTTCATGATGCTCTTCAGTCTGGAATTGTGGAGGTGACAGATTTCCCTCAGAAGTTTTTACATTGTTTTCATTGGGGCCTGCAAAATCTCAGGTGTGTATGTTCATATAATAACGAAACATCTTTCAAATGTTAATTACATTCTTTCTTTTCTATTATCATTTCTATCTGATATAATTAGAATTGAACTTCAACTTTTTGCAGTTGCTTTGGTCAGAATCTGCAAACGAGTAGCTATGTCTGGGAAAACTTACTTGCAATTTTGATAACCGTCTCTGGCTTAATATTGTTTCTCTTTCTCATTGGAAATATGCAGGTTTCCATTCGTTTTATTCTGGTCTCTTTTTATCTTTCATTTCACTTAGGTGAAGCGGAATAAAGATTTAAATTACTTGAAAAAACACGCAGGTATATCTGCAATCTAAAGCAGTAAGATCAGAGGAGATGAGACTAAAGACGCGAGAGATATGAGACTAAAGACGCGAGAGATAGAGGAGTGGACGCCCTTCAAAAGGCTCTCAGAGGATCTCCAACAACAGGTTAAGAAATACCACCGATACATATGGCGTAAAACCAATGGTGTTGATGTAGAAAATTTGTTCAATAATCTTCCCAGAGACCTCAGAATGAACATAAAGCGCGAACTTTGCTTAGACCTGCTAAAGAAGGTAGCTATGTTTGTCTAATTGTTAAACAAAATTTGAACCCACATCCTTATATATCTAATTCTTGAATGCTTTTCAAGGTAGATGAGTTTAAAAAGTTTAATGAAGCAACGTTGGATGCACTGTGTGACTGCGTAAAGCCAGCTTTCTACATTGAACGCACTTACTTTGTCCGAGAGGGAGACACAATTGATGAGATGCTCTTCGTAGTGCACGGCAAACTATGGAGCTATGCCAAGGCCAAAACGACAGCCTCAACAAGCAGTGATAACAGAACCAAAAGGAATTATCTGAAAGATGGAGAGTTCTGTGGAGAAGAACTCGTAGCTTGGGCAATGGATGACCCCTCTTCATCCAATCTCCCTATGTCAAAGAGAACCATTCAAGCACTTACAAAAGTTGAAGCCTTCGCTCTCATGGCAGATGACTTGAAAAACGTATTCATTAAGTACCATCTTTCGAGCCCTTCCGAATTGAACTTGAACCATCTAATGATTCAGGCAGCTCGAGTGATACAAGATGCCTGGCGTCAGCATCATACTTTAACGAACTCGCGAAGGGCTGCTGGGCAAATGGAACTCGGCTTGCAAGTTATGTAATCAGATGGAGCTTCAGAACTACTTCAGAACACTAACGACTCTGTCTCAGCAGCAAACAGGGCCTGAGATCAACATATTTGAATTTCTGTATTAATTTGTATCCTTGATTTTGTTGCAGTCTTGTATTAATTAGGACTACTAAGATCTTACAAGAAATGTTTGCAGTTGATATTTCCTTTTTGTTTCTTGTTTTGCTAGTGCCAACAGTGGCCAATAGTCTAAAGGATCATCTGTGGCCATCTGTTTGGAAGATCACTGGACTTATCAGTTTTTTCTACGCTATTGTGTAACCATTGCAGTATTAATTTGCTGGTTTACTGTTAAATATTAACTGAGCCAGATACCCTGAGGGCATTTCTCATTTGGTTCCTAATCAATTACGCAAAATCTAGGATAGAATAATCTATGTTTGACAGAAATAGTAACCAAATTCACAATTGAAAAGTATGCGTATAAAATAAGAATAAAATTGAATCATACAAGACAAACAAGTTGAAATGATAAAAAGAAAATATAGTTATCAGCTCCATTTTTGGTTTCCAAATGTTTTATCAAATTGAGCGTGTTGGAGTTGTCAACCACTTCAGCATTATGGGCCACATAGATGCATTCGAGGGCCCTACAGACGGGGGTCGTAGGAGCAGTGCCCCTGAGCCCGTAGGAGGTTTTGGGCTTTTTTCATGTATAAACGCCGAAGGATTTCTTTTAGTTATTAATTTCTTATTAGGTTTGGGATTAGGAATATGAATCCTTGTAATATTAGGTTTAGTCTTTTAAATCTAGTATATAAACATACTTTTCTCTTGTAATAAGTCATAGCAATCATAGGGCAAATTATTTAATTGTAAACGAGAGAGGTGGGACAGTATTGAAAAAATATTGACTCTACTAGACGTAGTGTATTAATTGGGTGAACCAGGATAAATCGTGTGTTTTCTTCTTTTTCTTTACTGTTTTTGTTTACGTGTTTTCTGTTTATTTTATTTTTTGTATATCTCTATTTCGTTCAAAGCGCGCAGGACCATTTTATTCTGGTAAGTAGTGAATAATGTGGGTAGGATTTTTTGGATTTTTTTCTTTCTTTTTTCCCTCAAATTGAAAGGAGTATGATGCAAGATTCTTAGGCCTTAAATTTAAAATACTGCGACCAAAACAAGGTTTCCTGGCAAAATTTTCAGCAATCTACGATTTGCTTCTTGTACTAGGATCATTTCATTGTTGATCTTCTAAAGTTATTTTGGTAAACTTTTAATTAATGAGTGCTTATGTTTTGATCAGGTCTCTGGTCTAAGATTTGATGGACTTACAAAATATACATCGAAATGCTGGTTTAATGTGAAGAGAATGCTTGACTCACAAGGGTCTTTCGGGATTTGGATTTGTCCCATTTTTATTGTGATTGCAATCTCACCGTAGCAGAGTAAATGACAATTGAAAATTTGAAAGTGCCTTAAAATTGAGGAATTAACTCCCTAGACCTCTCAAGTTTGCATTTAAAAAAATGACCTTGAAAATATTTTTCAATTTTTTTTAATTTAGAAAAACTGACGTGGCACACTTAGGATTCATTAAACATGTAAAACGAGGAAAGTGAAAGGATTTAAACATATGTGGGTAATATTATAAATAACGGAAGTTTCTTTAAATTTTGAAAATTAAAAACGACCCCCCCTTCAAAATCACATAATCAAGCCAAATACCCAAAAAATGACTGACGAACACCTTTGATTTCTCTGCCATGTCTGGCGACGAAAGTGCCCTATTTTGGCAAATATTCGATCCTAAAGCTTCCTTACACAAAATCTTGGCTGATATTCAGAAAAAGGAGGAAAACCCAACCCCACTCCAAATCCTAGACTTCGGCGGTGACAACAGTTCAAAGGCTATCAAAGAAAACACTCTGGTGGATCATCCGATGAGTGAAGGTGGTTCAGAGGCAGAGGAGACGATGGCGGCACAAGAAAACAGAGAAGGATCAAAAAACGGTTCTGAAAAGGAGGATGCTGGCGAGAATTCAGGCGAGGAGGAGGACGCCGGTGAAGAAAAAGGTACTTTTTTCTTACTTGTTTTTTTGAATTGGATGAGATATTTGATTGATTTGTGCAAATTTGGGGGAGATGTAGTTGGTTTTATTGTTATGATGGTTGTGGCATTTTGTCGAGCAGTTGGCGGGCATTGAGGGAGTGACTTTGTTTGGGTTCCAAAGGATGGGGGAAGGCAAGGGAGGCGTAGGGAGGTTGGTGGGTTGGGGATGGCAGGTGGTGGCGGAATAGGGGGGCTAGAGGGCTGCCCTGCATATTGCAGTGCTGGCCACGTTGCGCTGCCCGCGCTGTGCATGGCTAGCATTGCAATATACAGGGCAACCCTCCAACCCCCTTATTCCACCACCTTTTTCCATCCTTAGCCCTCCAACCTCATGGAACCTACCATAGCCTCTGTAGGGCTTGCATTTGCTTCCCAGGTCCTCTCACCAAAAACACCCACTCCCCGATGCCCTCGAAGCCCATATCCCCCAAATTGGCAGCCTATTGGTTGTTTTCATTTCTTTTTTTGCTGATATTTAGTTTATATCGATTGTGCAGATTTTCCGAAGCGTAAATTATAAAGTCTATGGGTGAAGGTTGTAAGCGATAAGGTACCATACTTCCCTGTAAGGGTGACAGTAAGGTCGAGTTGGCAAGTTTTTATGAGAATAATGGAGATTTTATGGGAACAGAAGAAGGGTATAGACTGATTCAAAGAGAGTTGTTTCGGTCATTTTGTGAACATCGGAGAAAATTAAAAAAAGGCGTTCTGGGGGCAGGGAGTGCATTATATGTTGCTACACTTAGTTAAAAGCCAAAAAAAAAAAAAAAAAAAAATGTGGTTCGTGGTGGATGGAAAGCCACTATGTTTTGGGATCATGGAATATGCCCTGATGACAGGCTTAAGATGTGGGGCATTTCCAGATGCAGCAGAGCAAGAGATAATAAAGAAGAGTACGACAACCGATAACTTGGCTAAAAAGGTTTTGGAGGGGAAGGCGTCTATTACGGGATGCGATTTAGAGGAGAGGTTAGAAGAAGGTGAATATACCTCTTTAGAGAGTTTTAAGATGTGCCTGGTATGGTTCGTGCATTCAATCCTAATGACTTCTGACTCAACAGAAGCCATTAATATGGATTGGGTGAAGTTGGCAAGTAACATGGACTTCTTTAATGCTTATTCGTGGGGACGGGTATCATTTCAGCTATCCATAGACTCCCTGCAAGGAAAAGACATAGCCTTAAAGCAACGCCAATCTGTCAAGAAGAATAGACTGAACATGTACAATTTGTTTGGCTTCCCATGGGCAATACAGGTAAATATTAATAGCTTTTTGTTATATTTTTTTTTTTTTTTTGTATTATATTTGTTTTAATTATGATATGGACTGTTTTTTTACAATGTAGGCTTGGATGTATGAGGCTGTCATTGTCCTGGCTAAGGCGGGGGGAGGATGAAGACTTCGGATGAGCGACTATAATTTCCTAGGATGTTGCGGTGGCACATCAAGAAGTGTACCCATTGGGATTACGACAAAATAGAAATCGAAATTCAAGCGGCTCGGGTAAGATTAAAGGATTAATCTTTTGAATATGCACTTTCTTTTAAATGTGGCTTAAATTTGATTAATTTTTTTTCTTATTGTAGGGAGTCGTCCATCCCTTCCTCACCGCTACTAGGGGTGAAATGGGAGAGGAATATGTTACATCGTGCAAAACACTGGAGGATGAAGTAGATGCAGGGATAGATCGCCTAATGTGGGACCTAGAAGGGGTCACGTATTTGAGTGCAGTTGTAGGGCCACTGCTTGAGAATGTTGTTGACGCCGAGGATGATGACGGCCCAATCGACAGGAGGGAGGAGGAGGAGGAGGATGAAGACGTTTGTACGCCTCCACCCAATTGGCAAACCAATACAACAAGTATCGCTTTGTCAAGCCATCGAGGTCAAGAGAATAAGGTGGTTGACCTCATAAACGATCTGTTTGAGAGTTTTACAACAACCATTTATGAGAGGTTTGAGAAAATGGAAGAGCGGATGAAAAGGGTAGAGGAGAACGTTGATAGGATAGAGGAGAAAGTTGATAGGGTGGCGGACAAAGTTTGTAGGGTGGTTGAGGAAGTTGGTGGGGTATTGAAAGTGGTTAAAGTGCAACCTGAGCATAAAAGAGATAGCTGAAAAAGTGAGCATGTAATTTCTCCTTACACGGCAGTAACGTATGGAAAGAAGAGGAAAACGAAGAAAAAAAATGAGGAAGTCAGTGAAAGTGGAGAAGGGTAAGGAGGAAGGCGGAGGAAGTGAAAATGGAGGAGGGTGAGGTGGGACGCGAAGGAAGTGGGGAAGTGAAAATGGAGGAGGAAGTGGGCAAGTGAAAATGGAGGAGTTAAAGGTCAATTTGTATAGGCTAATAGATGAGGAAAAGAAAAAAGTTTTCTATGCCTATTACAATGATTTTGGAAGTGATGGGCATGTGAAATGCAAGACCCGAGACTATCCTTGGGAGTGGTTTGAAAAGATGTTGACGGTGGGCAGGTGGCTCGACGACTCGGTGAGTTATTTTCCCTTATTTTTCCTTATTTTTGCTTATGCTTTCCATGAGGTATTGTATACTTATCATGTTAATTATTTTTATTTGATGCAACACATCAATGAGGTATTGACACTTATAAGGCTACGACAAAGCAGTAATCGTGATATTTTGCATCCACACTATGTCATCACCGATGTGGCCTTTGCCTAAATGCTAGTAACTACATATGACAGTTTAATGAAAAAAGCCATTGGTAGAGGTGTAACAAAGGGAGGCAAGCAGACGAGATTGGCCACAGATGACTTCGACGATGTCCCTGATAATTTTTAGTTTGATAATAGGATGATGCAGTATGTACAGGGGGAAAAGCCCAAACATGGCAACAGTTTGGCAAACGTTAAAAGAGTATACTGCATCGTGAACATCAAGGATATGCAGTGGATAACCGTCGTTGCACTACTAGAAGAGGGCTTGCTGCAAATCCTTGATTGCAACCCCAGTAGTTGTTGAGAGAGGAAGCTAGAGATGGAGTTACAGCCACTATGTGCATTGTTTCCACAGTGGGATGTTTCAGCATTTAGGTGATGAACTACTAACGGGAAAGTGGCCACTCAAGTGCCTTCCTATCCTGACAAATGACTCAAGGTAAATTTTGTATAAAACTTACATAATACAATTGTTCTATAAGCTGATTCTAATGCTAATATCTTTCTCC